ATCTATGAATCTATGACTATATATCTATATATTAGTGGTGTTTCATTTTAATCATGGAAAAATGTGGATTTGGGGTTACTTTTTTAAACCAAAAATTGGGGCCATGTGTGAAATTTCACCACTTTTGGCTCATAAATACTATGCGCTTTAGAACTGATTCATCAGTTCTTTACCACCTCTGTTATTTTAATCAAAAAAGACTGAGCTCAAGGTGGTTTTAAAAATACTCCCATTGGTCTGAATAAGTGGAGAAGTTGAATTCAATAATATTTACCACTCACACTACACAGTGCTAAGGCAATAAAATCAGACCTTACTTCTGGAATGTTGATCTTCTCCATGTGACTTTTTTATCCCTTAAAATTTTGAGTAAAGAAAAAAATACTTGTCATTCTCATTAGATCAGTTTATATGCTAACTTACAACGAAAAAAGACTTGCTACCTACCTCTGGTTGCTTGAGATGCATCATGTATCCAGTTCTGGTGTTCATGATATCAGACTTAATTTGGTTTATAAGGTATACCTATGCTCTGGATGTGCATGTGCCCTCCAGTCATTCCTTCATTTTCTTTGCAGCACAGAATCCAGATAGCATAGGCTTCTGTAATGCTGGGAAAGATGGTAGGGCATGGAATCCACATGGACAACATAGGTCAACACAAGAGCTGTCTAGTAAGAGTCTTTTTCTAATATGTTCTAGACTTCATCTTAACAGTTTGTTCTGGTGGTAGTTTGCTACCTCACATCTACAGTGCTACATACAGTATAGAATCCAAGTCTTGTTCTGCAAGGTGAGGCAGTAACTTGTGAGCTGTGCTGACGGCTAAGTTCACTATGTCTGAATATCAATAATAGATAAATTAAGCTGATATTAGCATGATCACTACTGCTGTATGCAGTATATTATACAAGTCTCCTCAGGGCTCTTGCTATTGATGAGGTTTATGGAGGGGCATGCATGATCCCTATACCTCCAAAGATGAGAAAAACATAAGTGCAGAGCCTATACTTAGACCCTCCATCTTTGGACAGAATGTTTGGTGGGTCTTGTCCTCATTCTTGGTTTCTCCATCTGCAGAAGAATCTATGCAGAAATAAATTCCTGATAATCCCCACTTGACCTTCTGATAAGTACCTGCTTGGTAGGCTTGCCAACTATCCATAAATGTACACTGGTAGGCACACAGTAGTCTTTATTTAGTGGTCTGTTCTGGGATGAGGGAACAGAGCCAGAAGGGGCAAAACTGGGGAGTGGGCTGGTGGAGGCAGCATGGTGCAGGATATGGTGTGGGGCATCAGGTTGTGGGATAAATAGAAGACCCCTGGGTTGAGGGCAGTATACTATAAAACCATTTCTACAGTCAAGCAGAGTTGCCAACCCAAGAACATTTTTTGCTGATACTCTACAAACTTTTTACTGACAACCAAACTTCTTTTAATATGGGTTGGTGTTAAAATCCTAAATTTGAACCCAGCCATTGTCTAGGGCCTGGCAGAAGGGTTGCATGTCACTAAAAAAGTTTGGTTGTCAGTAAAAACTTTGCAGATTGTCAGTAAAAGAATTTGTCGTGGGTTGGCAACTCTACTGCTCAGCTGGTCTTCCAAGACATTCAAGTCTGCAGTTGCAAAGCTGCTGGTATGATTTGCTATACCTGAGGGAATCTTATTATGCTGACACTGGCAATGAGAAAAAACTTGGGAATGGCTGGGCTCACCCTGCCCAATAATGCAATTGACTGGAAAGTGGGGTGACACAGCCAAGGTGCAGGCATAACCCCAACAGTCACTGCTGGCCAGAAAAGCCCACTCTTATAAGCACACATCCCATGCAACACCATGTGGTCAATCACTTACAAAAAAATGTAACTTAGTCTCTTTATGCTGAATTGTGATCGTTTTTTACTTCTGAGAAGCTCAGTATCATGCCTTCAGTGTCTCACATTTCCCTCAAAGATACTATCCAAATACCTCCCATAAAACTAAAAGCATCCACATCCATTAATTACATCATTATGGTTGCATCCCAGGTCATCTGAAGTAATATCTTAATGATTTATTGTAACAGGAAATCCCTGCCCCCATTACTAAGAAAGTTTGAATGGGTAAAACACCAGGCAGCTACTAAGGCAATTAACTGCAAGTGACACTGGAGAAAGAGAGACAAAAGGATAAGGGGGCACTGAAGAAGGGGGCTCTGAGCTGGAAAGGGACAGACTAGTCCCGTAGGTTGTAGGCTAAGGAGTTCCTCTGTAAGCTGGTTGCAGAAGGTGGACTGACTGGTGCCTGAGCAGTGCGAGAGAGCTGTGAAGAAGCCAAGGGGAACTCATAGGCTGCAAGGAAGTATTAACCCAGGGTTGGGAGGATACTGTTTGTACAGTCATGAGGCTGGTGTTCATGTTCTAATTGACACTATTAGTGGACCAGGAGTGGCTAAAAGGGGCAATAAGGAGGCCATGGATAGGGGTGCTTGAGGATGCAATAAGTACCAGAGGTCAGACTCTGAGACAGAAAGACAGACACTATTGAGCAGCAGGTGTACCCTAGAAAAGGGGCTGCTGTCCAAGCGGACTGAACCCTGGAGGCTGAGGCCTTGAACAGTAGGCTCAGGTGAAGGTTGTGGCCAGAGAGGAAAAGGGGGCTGAGGCTGTGACAGCTGAGACCCCAACAAGTGCTCCAGCAACGAATGGGGTGTGTCCCCTAGAAAGGGAAGTACCATGAGAAGGCAAAAAAGCCCCAGGTATAGGTGGACAGATCAGCCTACGCCAAGAGATAACTGACTACCAACTCTCAAGGACCTCTCCCATCAACAATTAACAACAACAAAGGTGTAGCAGGCAAGTAGTGGGAGGTAAGGTACGGTTTGAAAAAGAACCAGCAAGTGGCTCTCTGCAGGTATCCAACTTATAAAACTGAATTTTAGTGAATAGTACCATGAAAAATCTGTTAAAAAAACGAATTAGTATACGCAGGTGCCAGCTTCGGGTAGAACGTTCTACACTTACTTAGGGACTCTGGTCCCTGGACACATGTTATCATTGAGTCCATCTACAATTTGGATTTGATTGCTCCTAGCTTAAGAAAGCTAGGCCTTTTCTGATGCACTCAAGCAAACAGAAATCTGATATCCTTCTCCTAAAACCAGATGTACTGCAAGAAGCTGCACTTTGACTTGTGGGTAGCAAAACACCCAAGCCATGTTTCTTATTTTCCAAAATCCAAGTGCTTCAGGTTCCAGCTTGCATGCCTCCTTTGGCCATTCTTTCTCTGCATATAGCTCCCTAGTCTATTAAATACATTAAAATATAAAATATTTCCTGTTGTGAATATTTGTTCATTCTATGAAGTTTTAATATAGGAAGTCTCAAAAATGTATGCACCTTCTGTGGTTCACTGCTATGCTGAGGGTTTGCATGTGAATTATGGGCATTTTGAACATTGACAGAAGTGTACTTGTCTGTTACAGTATTGTCATCCAGGTTACTATATTTAAAACTGTTCACAGAAGGTAGATTTTTTTTTTCAGAAGTAAACTGTGGTCATGGTGGGAACTTCAACCTAGAGCTTCCTGCTGCACAGAGCAAATTATATCAGTTAGCATAATTTACTTTATTTAAAATTTAAAAAAAGGATCCAGCATCATCTCCCTCTGTAACTTGTTTCTGCACTGTTTGAAATGTAGCACTTAAATATCCTGAATTAATTAAAGTCAAATGCCCACCCAAGGAAGGAATAGCCTTAAAATAGAATTTTAGAAGCTGTAAGAGAATTTCAAACAAGAATAAGCAATGAATTTGGAATAAATTATTTTTATTCCTTTTATCTTGGAATAAACCAGTGTTTGTTCAGGCATAATAAGTTCCCTGACTAAAACATCCATAATAAAGATAAGTGTAAATCCCCCTGGTTAGCAGAAAGCACAATGTAGTTCAAAGAACTCCACTCTCTGAGGCTTTGTCTATACACGTTTTTCCACTTTAACTAGACTGATACAGTCACATACCCCATGTGTGTACTGGTACACCAGCATTAAGGTGCTTACAGTGGGAGAGCTCATTCCCATCTAAGTACAGAAACAATCTATATTGGTATAAGATACCTTTATACTGACTGCTATAACTATACCCGCATGAGGGCTCCTACCATTATAATTTGATCTGCAAAAAGATAATATCAGTAACTGACCCAGTTACACCACTATAATTTCTCAGGTATAAACCAGCCTCAGATACCAGGAATGAGGTCAAATCTTGGTTCTGTAATGCCACAGCAGCCTACAATGCAGTGGCTGTAATTGTAGTTCCTAGCTTCTCAAGACTTTTCTTGTATGTCATCAGGTTTCTCACTCCCTCGGTCTCACTCGGCGCAGAATCCTGCAATTCTAGAATCAGGCTCAAAGCAGAAGGAACTTTACCCTCTGGGTTTGCATGAAAGCTGCCGAGTCCTCTTTTTTCCTGCTCTGTTTGTTCCAGGTCTCACTAGTTGTTTTCCTACAGTGCTACTTTGCTGCTTACAGCCCAGATTAGTACTGAGAAGTCTCTCCAATTCACTTATACTTCAGTTGTATCAACTTTCAAACACAGAGAAAAGCAGGACCGCTACTGAATTAGAAAGGTGGCATATTATATTTACTTTGGTCACATGTAAATTAAGGGCAGGGTAATGATGAATTGAGCCCATGCTCTTTAACGGTTAGACTCCTGTGTTTTAAAACTTTGGCCCTAAAGTTTGAATGTGAATCATCTACTAAAAATAAAGCAGACCCAACATATGGAATAAAAAACAGACCCAACATATAGAAACTACATGGAAGAAGCAACATTTTTGGGGAGAACAACTCCACAGAGTTAATTCGTACAAAGCTCAGATTTAACTATATTGTCATTTACTTCTATCAAGATGATATAGCCAGGTCTCTCTTTGTGTGGAAACGAATGATCAGGCAAGGAAGTTGTTGTTTTCAAAATGAATTCTAATAGCTTAAAGAAAATGAGTACTTACCTCTACTCAGTTCTGGATTAGGGGGAATATTGCTTGAGGCTATTTGCAGTCCCTTCACCTGAGAAGACATCAGATCTTTGTCAAATAGAATAGCCTTCCTCAGTCTGAAGACAGTAAATGCCTGCCTCCTGACACATGTGCAGCTGAGTTTCAGGAAAGAATCTGCTCCTAATTCCCTGAAGCCAGATCAGGGCGCACACAGTCACTCTTGATCCAATAGCTTCTTAATCACTTCCTCCATTTCCAGTTCTCTTGAGAATCCCTCTATCGGCTCTCACAGTCTCAGCCTCTTTGGCCTCGCAGCATTCTTAGTGAGAGAGAAGAAAGAGCTGAACTGAACAGGATGTAGAGACAGGATTTTGCAGTCCTTTATCTATGTACGGTTCTTCTCTGGTTGCTACTCACCCTAAATTTGTAAAAGGTGTTTTGTTTGCTCTTTCCAGAGCCACTGATTTCCTAAAATGTAGAGATTTCCCACTGCAGGAACCCCACCTCACTCCAAAATACCTTCAGGTTTATCTCTCTAGTTTTAATGTCGAAAAGCCCATCTGAAGGGTAAGGATTTCTGAATATTTTGGTATAAGCCTCAGAAATACATAACAGATATAATAACAACATGGATAAGAATCTATTTATGGCTATGAAACACATCTGTCCACAGGATGGACGCTTCATACAGTGCTGGCAGCCTCTTATCTCCAGGGATATCTAAGACGCTCTCACATACCTAAAGCTGCTCCCCTCATTTCATTTGTTGACATCTTCCTTCAGACTCATTACTTGCTTGTCACCCACTGGCTGAAGGACTGTGGTCCTGTCAAATAAGCCATAATAAACCAACTCCCTCTAATGGCACATTTTAGTACCACACCTACAGTATTCTGTATTTCAAATGTCTCTAAGGGTAAAAACAGACGAACAAAGAGGATCAAGCTGCGGCAGGCATGCAGGAATTCTTGGGCTGCACAGGATCAGGCCCCTCAAGCCCCCAGAGCACCTGCCCAGGGTAGCTGGAGAGTACAGGCAGCTCTGGGCTGCCTACACTTTCCCACCACAAAGCAAACAGACAGGAGTCCACTGTAATAAAGTAGACTACCTTTTGTTGCACCACCAAGGTGGTGTGACAAAGGGTAGGGACATCTATTTGTTCACAAACTTGAAACATTTTTACAGTGACACAAATGCAACATCAGGTGATATCTATTTCTACTCTTAGGCCCCTGGCAGATCACCTGCCACAGATGCTAACCTAATCACATGACTGGGATCTAAGGAAGTTTATGCAGTGACGTAAGTTAGGTCTCTGGTGCCCAAGGACCAATGCCTACATTTGCACCCTGCCACACCTCCCACCCCTCCCTCTGTCCTTCTTGTAGCAATACGTAAAGTCTCCCACCCCAGGCCTGTTTGGTTACCTGTTTCAGCCAGGAAGGAAATGAAAGTCCTGGCACACCAGATGCAGGGGGAGGAGTGATGGCCAGAATCTCTGGCTGGAGCAGGTAACTAAATATCCAG